AACAACAACAAAAACCATAAGCCACTGAAGGCTATTACACAAGGGAACAAACAATTAGAACAGCACACCATTGTAAGGGTATTTGTAATATAAATTGGTAGTGGGAAGCCAGGAGGTGAGGGTACCCACTGTAATAGCCCAGAGAGAAACAAGATTCTCAGTCAGGATGGGGCAGTGGGGGTGGAAATTAAGGGAAAGGTGGGGACTGTCACTAGGGAGGGACAGTTAACCCATTCATAAACAGAATATCAATATAATAACAATGTTCCCTACTTCCACAGTGTCTATCTGTCAAAGCTTTTACCAAAATCCCCACAATTCATACAGAAGTCCAGTGAAGAGTGTATCCAGTGTGATTATTTGAATTTATAAATGGGAACTAAGCCAGAAAAGTCACATTTGCTGGTAGGTAGGAGTAAGATGGGAGGAGCAGAAAGTAGTGAAGAGCAGAAAGAGAAAAGAGCACAGAATAGGGCATCTGTGATTCCACTTTATTCTGAGGACTTTGCCCGACTTTGTCCCAAGGTGGCGCATCTGCATTTGCCCCACATCTGGCCTAGTCATTTTGATCCCTTTTTTGCATGAAGGTCTGACATCCCTTTTATCATGCAGGAATGAGTTTAATCTATGCAGGTATAACTTTTATCACTTGCAATGAGTTTAATCTATGCAGGAATTAACAAATCAATTGGTGAATAAGGAGTCTTTTCCCACTCATCCCCTCCACTCCCAGCACAGCACAAGCAGCCTCCTCCCATCCCCCCTCCACCACCCCCAATCCCACCCCCCAGATCCACAAGGAATGTCCTCTCAGCCTCAAGCAGCCATGCAGGGTCAGGCCAGGAAATCCCAGGCTGAGAAGCACTCAAAGAAAATGCAAGTTGCATATACACAACTTGAGGCCTTTCTCTTTAAATCTGACAATGACTAAGTCAAGCAGAAGTAAAAAATCCTTTAAAACAAGTGCTTATTTTATCCAAATTGTGACTTCTATCATTGAGGCCAACCCCTGGAATAAATACCCAGTGCAGCTCCAGAAGCCATGAGGGAAGGAGCAGGAAAACCGACGCCTTCCTCCCTTCAGGCTCTGTGACCTTGCCCCGGGCAGCGCCAGGAACCATATTCACTCCACAAGTGTCTACCTGGCCCGTTTTGTTAGGAAATTAAAGTGGTGGGAAGTCAGAGGCCAAACAAAATACAGAAATGTGTTTTGGAGCTTCCCAAATATATTCTAAGATTAGTCCCTCAGGGCTTAATTTTCCCTCTCAGTCTGTCCTCGCTCTCAGCCCAACCCCGCACTGGTTCTTGGAGGTCAAGGCTATATCTGGTTCCCCTACTTGGTCTCTTGGCTGCTCATCCCCCACTTCAGAAGCTTTTTGGGTGCAACCTTTAGTTACTCAAGGGACACTGGGCCAGGGGGCAGCCTCTGTGTTCTCAGGCCAACACTCATGTCCTCTAGTCACTGTGACTTGAGGGCTCACGGTCAGCTCAGTCTGTCACCCATCTGTGGAGAACTGTCTTTACGAGATGACTTCAACGAGTTGATTGAGTCAGAAGCAATACTATTCTGTTCAATTCCATGCTTTTGCTAAAAGTACTCATCAAATCCTAAAAATTCTAATCCATGCATGTATTTATCACAACATGAACCAAGATATTTGAGTGATCTGCACTTCCCACAGCCAAATCTCTCTACAAGCCACCAACTGCTTGATCCAGAGCTCTTTGCAATGCCTGTTTCACCCAACTGTTTGTAGGGAGTGCAGCAAGGAAGGCCTTAAAACTTACCATCGTAGTCACCCTGGTTGCTGATGGAAATACGCACACATCAGAACTCTTGAGTGTCCTATTGGTCCTGTGACCAAAAAAGCTCTCATCCAAATTGCTCTTTCTAAACATCAAAGTGACAAGATTATATGACAAGGCTACCCTACACTCACCCTTGCCTGTTCTAGGTCCCATCTGTTGCCCTAGTCTTTGCTGGATGAGGCCACCCCGTGGTTGATGCTCGGCCCTTTGCCACTTTTTCTACCCTGAGCTGTTCCAAACAAACTCAGGAAGTCTTAGACAAGTGGCAGATGGTGAGGGAGGGCAAGTCTGTAGGTAACACCTCTTGGTTACATAATGCTAAGCACCAAACCTCCTAGAATCAACCAGCCTTGGAAATATCTCCGGGCTTCACACTTCAGAATAACTAACTATGCAGAAAGAGAGAAAATTATAATATTTTCACTTGATGACCAGTGTACAGTCATATTAGATTGGGGCAGAACTAGATTAAGATACATATCACTCATTCATTCATTCATTCATTCATTCATTCGATTCTTGTGTAATGCCCAGTACCTACAAAGCACTAAGCTGGGCCCAGTAGGGGTACACTTTATAAACTTGTCCAGGCCACATCACTTGTGGAAGCTATTCATGCTGCCCCTACATCCCGTTCTCCCTTTTCAGGACAAGAAATATTGAATTGTGGCTAAATGGGGTCACAGCACTAGTCCTGGCAGAGGCAATGTAAGTCACTTCTGGGTCAGATCATGTCATGAAAACAAGATCGGCTAGCTTCCTTTCCAGTGCTGCGGGGATCTTGCAAGCACACCCGAGATCACACCTCCATTGATTTGGGTCCCTGAGGGACTACAATGAGCAGGACCTACCTGCTGACCACACTGGATACACACCATACGAAAGAAACCAGAGTCAGTACTCAGCCACTGAGATTTGGAGGTTATTTGTTACTGGAGAATAACCTAACCTATCTTGCTGATACATTACCATTTTAAAAAGAGAGGAACCTGCAAAGCTCCCCCCCCCCCCTTTCTGTTTTCTAAATCAGATCATTCAGAAAAGCAGACCTTGTTTCAAAATTTAAGTGCAGCAGGGACTGAATAAAACCTTGAAATGCGGAGGGTGCCGACAGGATGGACACATTCAAACCCTGAAAGAGTAAGGAATGAAAACAGAATGACTTTTCAACAGCAGTGAAATCTAACCATTTGTGAGATTCAGCTGAAGAGTTTAAAGGCTATGAAGAAAAGGTCACCTTCTAACAACAGGCCCAGTCACTTACAAAGTAGTGAGCACCCCAATGAAAGAGGCATTCAAGTAAAGGCTGAATGGTCAAATGCCCCCTCCTCAGCAGTCCCCCTCCTCTTACTCTTTCTCACTAGCTACCATTGAACTTAACAAGAATCAGGTCATCATTTCTCTATCACCCTATAAGCTCCCTGAAGGTGGCTCATTTTTATGTCACCACACCACACCCCCATTCCTTGGCCCTTATCACAAGGCCCTTTATCTATTAGGTGCTTGATAAACATCTGCTGAGTGAATTAAATGAATGCTGAAGAAAGAGCTCTGGAGGCAAAGGTTGGTCTAATAACCTCTAGGGCTGCCCCTGCCTAAAGCTAAACACACTACTGCAGACATCTGGGGGCGGGGGAGCCTCCACCTAAAAAAGTAAAAATAAAATAAAAATTGAACAGCAATATGACACTTTATTATGATTTATTACTGCACACAATTTAAAGCCACAGTGAAACCGAACACTGGACAATGTTCATCTTTGTTCCTGGATGTGCATTTACATGTGCAGGTAGCTGTTTTCTCATACGGAATTGTGTGTGTGAGGTATTTATTTTTTCTATTTAAAAAAAAAAAAAAAACACCACACCCTTTGTTTCTATTGCATTGTTACATTCCCTATTACCACCATCACGTGGTTTTTCTTCTTGCAGGAACACAGCACACACCCTGCATTATTGCTGACATAAAGACGGTCAAAATACCTCTATCCTAACAGCATTACACATCTGATCTTTCTAACACCTCGGCCTTTGTTTCAGCTGGGACTGGGTAACTCACCTACTTCTCCCAGTGATTCCTGCATGCCTACAGTAGAAGGATAAATGCCAGTGTCACTATATTTTTTAAAGTCACCTTTCAAGACAAAACTACCCTGGAGCTGAAGGACAAACCTTTCAAGTTATTTTATTTTTTTAAGGGTTTGGGGGCGGGGGGGCGATGGTGAAGAGAGAATCTGCCACAGATACTGTGCTGCTGCCACTGCTGCAGAGCAAGAGCACCAATAACCAGTAGCCTTTGGTCCTCAGCAACCCCTCCTTCCTACAAGACAAACCCCGCGTCCATGTCCATAACCATTCTTATCCCCTGCTACTTGTGCAGGCTGCCGGGACTCTGCCCTCTAGGAGAAAATGCCAATGCCAAGGTGTCCTGTGTCTGAAGGTTACGTTTTCATTGAGCTTTTTCAAGATAACCCCAGATCTGGTTAGGTTGCCGTCAAAACAGGACTATCCTTGGAAAGAAAAGAGCAGGCCAGAGTTTTTGGAAAAGAACCAACAACCTAAAGATAAAATGCAGACTGAGAGCCTAATGGTTCACAGCTTTATAAATGGAAACTTAACTGAAGCTTGTTTTCTGTTCTTTCTGCTCCCCCAACAGCCTTCCCTTCCACCGCCCAGTAACTTACAGCTGGCAGGGCGATGTTGCAAACACTGTTACAAGGAAGGGATGGAGGAGAAATATCATTTCATAAGAAAGTCACTACATTTGACTGGTGCTCTAACTGAGCGCCAGTCCAACCTGTAATCAGCCTTAGGATGATACCTTCTCAACAAACACTATGTCCCACTGAAGCCAAAATATATTACTACAGATAAGAAAGCCAGCATATATCCAAACCCCACATTCAGATACAACTATGTATTGATTATATCAAAATTCTCATCCAAAGAAACCAGGTGTAATTTACACAACCCCAAACGCACCCTGCCTGCCCTCAATGACTTCTTCAAAAGGAAGGTTTGAAGTCATTGGCGATTTCTTTCCAGCAGCCCCCACTCATCCTCCTCACGGGTAGGAATGGAATGGTGTGATGCAGAAACCACCCCAACGGCCCCGAGCAAAGCACTGTTGGCCCAAATGACCCGGGGACACCCAAGCGGCTACCCAGATTATTGGGGGGAGAGGGGGGTTACCTGAATCTGTCACCGAGTCTCTTTCACCCCCTTCTGTCTGATGACATCAAGTGGAAATGGTACTCGTTTGGGAGGCAAGAGGCTGACAAGCAGGAAGCACAATTGAGTCTGAGCTTTGTTCAGCCTGCGGTGAAATACATGCAGTAGGGGTTAGGTACGCGCAGCAGAGAAAGAAATCCAAGCTTCCTCCGGGCCAGTGGCGGAGGGGTGCACTGAGGCGGTGGGGGACGGCGGCGGAGGTGTGGAGGGCTGGCGGGCGGCGAGGGGGCGGAACGCTTCTAATTGTCTCTACAGGATAAATAACCACCTCCCTCCTCTCCCCCCCCCCCCCATTCATCTGCAGTCTCCCCCGCCCCCAAGTTCTCCTCTGGTGGTAGGGCTTCTGCTAGCAACTGTAATCCCTCAAGAACGAAATACGAGAAAGCGGAGGATAACATCTTGGGGCGAATACACACTAGCAAAATCTACTAGGTAAAGCCGGTTACATGGGAATGCGGGGCGCCCAATCACCCGCCCAGACAGACACGCCAGCGCTGCATTCGCGAGCATCCTCCTTTCCTTCACGCCGTCTGCCACCTCATCAAGTCCCTCACTGTGGCCGATTTCTCTACTCTTCCCAAAACCATGCCACGCTCCCCCCACCCATCCCCACCCTAGGCGGGATCGGGGGGCGCCGCTTCTCAGGCGGAGTCCCACGAGTCCAGCCTGCTTTGTCCTGTCGCTGCCCTTCCAGGAGCAAGCGCCCCGGGCGCGTGGGTCGGCACAAAAGACCCCCCACATCTGGCCCGCCACTGCGCCCCGTCCTCCCGGGAGGGGCCGTGGGGCCGCAGGGGGCGCGCAAGGGCAACTTCTGCGGGTGGGGAAGCCGCTCACCAAGGGGCTAAGGGGCTTGCGAGGGGACCTACTCGAGTGTGTGCGAGGTGGGGGCGCAGCTGGGACGCGCGCGGCGCTGGCGGGAGACAGCTCCTTCGGACCGGAGCTCCAGGGGGCATCCGAGGACTCGGCGGAGCCGCCGACAGCGCCATTCCCCTCCCCAACCCCAGTCCACAGCCCAACTCCGCCAGCGCTCCCAACAAACGCAACTCCAGGGACCCCCTCCCGCGTCCCGGGGCCTCCCCACCGTGCCCCTCGCTCCCCGCCCCGAAACCCCTGCGGCCCCGCCACCTCCATCCACAGGCCAGAAGGTACCCCTCCATGCACCAGGCGGCGGCTCCCCTTTCCCGCTTCCCGCTCCGGGCGAGGCAGCCTTGGGGACGCTGACATCCCCGCGCGCCCCGCGCGCCGCCCCCGACCCAGGAGAGACAGAGCAGAGGAACAAACCGAAACTCACCGACCTCTCCCGGCGGCGGGCTCGGGCGCTCCCTACAGAGGCGGCGGCGGAGGCAGCATTGCCGGGTGGTCCCGGAGCGCCCGCCACCCGCTCGGCCAGACGCGCGGCGCGGGAGCCCGGCGAGCGCAGGGAGCGCGGCGTCGGCGTCTGCAGCCCCAGCTCCGCGCCCCGCCCGCGGGGAAGCGCCCCACCTGCCCGGCCGCCCTCCGCGCTCGCGGCCGGACTCCGCCGCCTGGCGCTGGGCTGCGAGCGGGCGCTTTCGTGTCACCGCCCAACAAACGCACCGAGCGGGTGGGGGCGGGAGGCCGGGCCCGGCTCCCCGCGGTACCGCCCTCCCCGGCGGCTCCGCCTCCGCCAACCCCTCCCCCCTACTCGTCTGGGACGTCCGTCCATCTGTCTGTCTGTCTGGAATCGCAAACCACCTCCGGGGTGAGGAGCTGCCCGCTCTCCCTCGTGCCCTCCCTCGGCCTTGCCCCCATGGGCCCAACCTCAGCGGGGACCTCGACATGGTCTTTCCCACGCGTGAATGTGGGACCTAAGTTGGAAGCAGGTGTGAAAGGAGGCCGAGCTCAGCCGACAGAAGGGCGGGAGGGAGCTGGTGGCCCGCCAGGCCGGCGGGAAGCAGTCTGCAGCTCCGGACCGGGGATGAGCGAGGGAGGAGTTGCGATCCTCACGTTAGCCGAAACTGCCTGGTTCCCTGTCACCTGGCTGACCCCTAAAGTTCACATAGTCCAGCCCGGGCGGGCCCTGCTTTCGTGGACAGAAGACCTGATGCATCCCCACCACCTGGCTCCCTTGGATGGGGTAAGAGGAGCGGGGAGGCGCAAGTTTGAGGAATCTGTGGCCGCGCTAACCACTGGGCTCGGGCCCACCCTAATCTCCACTTTAAAACCGAACTCCTACCGCAGGGACGTGCTTAGAATGTCTAGTTCTCCCCCCTCCCCTCCCTACCCCCAACAACAACAAAAAAAATCTAAAGCAATGGTCTCTTGCTTCTGGTGTTAACTGCAAAATAGGAGAATGGAGGAGGGAGTTCGCCGGTAGAGGACAGTGTCCATGCAGTCTGGTGCCTTTTTAAAGGGTTTCTTTGCGGAATGAAGACCCAGAACTCTATTCTATGATGGGGAGAGTTAAGCCTTCCAGCAGCACCAGGTTCAGCTGAGTGGTCCCGTAGTCATCCAACAGAGCCTGCTTTATGTCCTCCCATCGTGTCCACGCGAAAGAACTACCATCCTAACCTCTCCCCATGGCTCCTGGAAGTGCTTCTGCCAAGATGTGGAAAAGGAAACCCAGTAAACCAAAGGGGGCTCTATGTGAGCTCCTAAAAGTCCTGATGCACTCAACTCAACCATCCTTGTCTTGTCCCACAAATAAAACCTGCTAGTAGTACTTCCAAATATGGTATCACCAAGCACATGGAGAAATCAGTCACCCAGAGACAGATAAAGCCTAAGGACTGTCAGTCCTCTCCAGGATCTCAGTGACAGCTTCACCGGCTCATCCCTGTGCTTTTGCTCCCTAAAGTTAGCTTCTACTGTATACTTGGCAGGAGTGAAAGTTATATGTGTGTTTTAAAAGCCTTAGTGTATCTTGGAGTAGAAGACTTCAAGAGTATTTTTGGCCTCAACTTTAGGGCAGAAAAAAAAATTTTTTTTTTTTCAATGAGAAACTAGTGAGAGGATTGAAAACTGATGTTGGCCAGGACCTTGGAATAGGACTGTGAGTTATAACCACTCAAGATTTTACTAGGAAAATGTAGCCCAGACATATTATGATTATACAAGAGTGACTTTAAAGACTACTTTTAAGCAACTAATTTCAGGGATCAGTAATGATTTCAAAATGTTTAAACTTTTTCTTCAGCTGCTTTCAAAGCAATTCTCTGGGAGAATTCAAGCATTCAGCATGGTGTGGGGTAAATGCTTCCATCCTCCCTTGGTCATTCATTCCCACTGGCTGGTGTTTTAATTCACATAGCTTCATGGGTGTTCTGCCTTCTGTCCAGTCTTGTAAGCTGTCACACAGAGAAGGTTAATTAACTGGGGCAGACTGGGATAAGCCAGTTCTTAAGACTAGTTGGGGGGGGGGGGGGGCAGCGCTGGGCCAGGCAGCAACAGTTTGAGGCAGGGGAGGAACAAGCAACAACATGTTGTAGAAACAGATTCATAAGTGAGACAGTTCCAAGAGCAAGGCGGCTGGGCCAAGCAGTGTTCAGAGCTGCAAGCTCAAAGCTTCAGAATCCCATTCCAGACTGAGGCACTGTCTATGCCTGGGTGAGATAGGATCAAGGCATCATCCCAGGTCTTGATAAAGTACATTGTCAGGGTGGGGTCCCCACACTGAGGAACAAGATAAGGAGAAGACGTTCAGTAATTCACTTAACAAATATTCCTGGAGTTTGGACTATGTATCAGGAACCAGGGTTAGGACACAGAAGAAAACAGATTCAAATCCCTACCCTCACAGAACTTACAGTCTAATGGAGGAAGCAGAGAATACACAACATATACACAGCATAATAAATAAGTAAAATAAATTGTATTGGAGAGTGAAAAGGGGGAGGGGAGAAAAATCAAGCAGAGAAGGGGGTTATGATGTTTCCATTGGAAGAGGGTTGAAATTTTATTATATATATAGGAAGGGAGAGGGAGAGAGAGATAGAAACATCAATGAGATAGAATCATTGATTGGCTACCTCCTGCACACCCACACTGGAGATCACGTTAACATTAACAGGAACTGCCTGGTTCCGTGTCACCACAGATGCTTTCTGGCTGACCCTTAAAGTTCACATAGTCCAGTCCGGACATATGCCCTGACTGGGAATCAAACTGTGACCTCCTGGTTCACAGGTTGATGCTCAACCACTGAGTCACACCAGCTGGACGCAGGTTGAAATTTTAGCTCCATGGTCAAGGAGGTGCCTTTGGAACAGAGAGCTGAAGGAAGTGGGAAACAAGCCCTGTCAGTCAATAGGGAAGACTTCCTGGCAGACCTCGGAGGTATTGTGGGTTCGGTTCCAGACCACCACAATGAAGTGAGTGGTCATCTCTGTTTGGTGGAGGGTCTTGCCTTCAATTGTAAAAAAAAAAAAAAAGCAACATCTGTGAAGCACAATAAAACCAAATGCAGTAAAATGGAGTATGCCTGTATTTCCCCAATGGCAAAGATTGAGATGCTGGAAATGGGTCACAAGGTCAGTCAGACCAATAGCATTGATTGATGCTTAGTCTCCCGAGGTTGAATTAAAGCTGCTTAAATCAGGACAGGGCTGAGTTCTTATCTCTGTATTGCAGCATGGAGCACAAGTGTGCGATAAATGTTTATTGAGCCGAGTCCTTAAATCTTCCAGGATCTGGGTGAGGCTGAGAATAAAGGTGACCCATAATACTCAGGACAACCCTTCAATCCATGATGACCCTTCCACAAAAAAAAGTGTTGATCTCTTTCATCACTTTTCCTGACTGTCCTCCTGGTTGGGGCAGGAATTATCCTCTCAATTGTACCTAACACACTAAGTGGGAGGGAGAGAACCAAGAAAAGGAGAGAAAGAAGAAGGGAGGGTGAAGAATCAGGACAGAGAAACAAATCCTGCTCTGTGTTTTCTACCCTAAAGATCTTAATCCAGCCCAATAATGACAGTCAGTTTTCCATTTAATATGGTTGAGGTTTACAGATTAAAATTGAATCTTGAAACTGAATTATAGTGATAGCTGCACATTTAAAACAAGTGGGTTTTATGATACATAAATTATACCTCAACAAAGTTGTTTAAAAACATTGAAGCAGGCACCCACGTTGAGGACACTTTTGTTGTTGCTGTTTAATTTTTGGACCATTTTCATGTTGCCATCAATGATCAGATAAAGGGGCATATTTAACCAAATACATTATCAACCTTCCTGATAGATGTTTAACCCAATTGATTTGCATGAAATAGAAAAGTTTGTTTTAGAAAAGTATATTTTGGTTTCTGCCACTTAGCTCCTAAGTCCCTTGGAATTTCCTGGGTGATAGGAGTGTCTTTTTGTGGTTCTAATGGGATGACTCTTGGTGGGCACCTGGATAGGGGCTGGTCATCAGAGAGACCAAGCCATGGTTAGCAGCTTGGGATTTTCAACCCCACCCCCATTCTCCAGAGAGGGGAGAAAGGCTAGAGTAGAGTAAATAATGATGTCTTTGCTTTAAGGATAGCAGAGGGAAGTCTAATACACTGATCATGCCTACAGGATGAAGCCTCCATAAAAATCCCGAAACTATGGGGTTCAGAGAGCTGCGTTAGTGAACACATGGAGGTGGGAAGAGAGTTGCATTCAGAGAGCACATGGCAGCTCCATGCAGAAAGCAGTAAGTAAACGCTGTTCTTGAGTTCTGTGAGCAAATTAATCAAACCTGAGGAGGATGCCCTGGGAACCTCCGATTTACAAACCTCCAGGTGACAACCTGGACTTGTGCTTGGCAACTCCTGGTGGGGAATAGTCTTGTAGGACTGAGCCCTGAAACTGTGGAATCTGCCACTATGTCCAAGTAAACGAGTTAAATTATCAGACACCCAACTGGTGTTGCAGAGAATCACTTGTGGGAGAAAAAAATCCACACATTTGGTGACCAGAAGTCTCAGAAGGGAAGTATTTTCTGTGAAAGTAAAGAAGAGAAACATGGGAATAAGAGTGAATTTTTCTTACTCAATTTGAAAATGTATTTTTCCCTTATGGGATATTTGTCACCTGAAAGTATATGTAGTCTTTTTAAAAATCTAAAAGAAAGTCTTCAAGCACAAATAGTCTACAATATTTTACTAATAATGACTGCTAAGTATAGCGTAGTACACATTTCAAAACTGGTTTTTATTTTGGGGCCCTACTTAAGCCAATTCCAACGGACTAATTACTCTGATGCATGAGAGGGGTGCCAAACATGACATATTGGTACTATCTAAGGACAACAAAGCCTCGTCAGAACAAAATACTGAAGTGTTCTGGAAACCCCAAAGGATTTCGCAGGAGCTATATTCAGATTGCTTTTCTACAGTAGTGATGGGCTGAATAAAGACATCTCTTTTTTACTTTAACCTCACCTTTGATTTCTATAACAGGCATCCAAAACAGCTGGTTGGAATTATGTGGCCATACTCAGGAGTGACAGTCAACGTGTTTAACAGGCTGTAGGCTAGACATCCACAAGTCAGTTTGGATGATGACCATGAACAAAATATGTCCTGGCTGAAGGTCAACTTAGACTATGATGCCACCAGCCTCTGAAC